TAAGAGGAGGCCCGGGATATGCTGAGGGGAGCTGGCTTAGCTTTTGGCCTCTCCGCCTCCAGGCCTGCTCTCCGCCCCAGTGGTGAAGCGCTGCCTGTCTCGTCGTCTTCCCTCATAGTGATTGGCTCCTATCTTTAGGATTGGGCAGGGGAAAATGGGGTGCAGTGGACAAGGCCCTTTGGGTCCCTTCTGTGACCTCAGAAATTAGATCAGGACAGTGGCTTAACTTGTCTCAATTGGTCTGTTTGTGCAATGAGCAAAAGCCCTGAGAAGTCAGGTGAATGAATGAGTATCTAAGAATGTGAAGTTAGGTGCAGGTGTCAGTGCCTGTGTGATTATGAATGAGCGATATCCACCAGTGTGTATGAGGAGTGGCAGGTCTGTGCCTCATCTCTAGGCACCTCTGGTGTGCATGTATTGCAAGTGTGAGCTCCTGGCTCCCTCCCATAGGACTCCTTGTGTGGCTCTCACTGAGCCCACAGAATCAGGGACTCTGGGTTTGTCCCACGGGGGAAAAGAGAAGTTACTTAGAAATGTTAATATTATTGACTATATTCTCTAGGCTGTACTTTACATCCCCATGACTATTTTTTCACTATCAATTTGCACTTTTCAATCCCTTCATTCTTTTCACCCATTCCCCCAAACCCCTTCCCTTTGGCAACCATCAATCTGTTCTCTGTATCTATGACGAAATCCCTAATTTACATCCTCGTTCTGAGCCAATAAGTGGATATTTATTAAAATGTTTCATCACCTTTGCCTAAAACAGTGGTTCTCAACCTTCCTAATGCCACGACCCTTTTATACGGTTCCTCATGTTGTGATGACCCCCAACCATAAAATTATTTTTGTTGCTACTTCATAACTGTAATTTTGCTACTGTTATGAATCATAATGCAAATATATGATATGCAGGATGTATTTTCATTGTTACAAATTGAACATATTTAAAGCATAGTGATTAATCACAAAACAATATGTAATTATATTATGTGTTTTCTGATGGTCTTAGGCGACCCCTGTGAAAGGGTCGTTCGACCCCCAAAGGGGTCGTGACCCACAGGTTGAGAACCGCTGGCCTAAAAGGTTTTCCCCAATAGCTTCAATACATGCTTTACTGAAAATAATAAATATGTGTACTTCTGAGCCTGCCATAAGGCCAGCCTCCCTGTGACCATCAGCCCCAGATTCAGAACTTGAGACTGACCTGTGACCATGTTTGTGCAGGTCGAAGCAGCGGGGCCTGGGACACTAAGTCGTCTTCGTTACCGGCTGTGCCGTCCCCACTGCCCAGGGCCGGGTGAGTACTTGCCACAGACAAGCAGCTCTGTGAGATGGGAGTGGATGTTCCCACCACTGCTGTGAGCAGGGCCTGCACGGAGCCACAAAGGGAATCGGGGTGGAGGGTGCTTTTCCACTGTTTCCGTCCAGAAGAGCACACCTGCAGGACCACAAACCACAGTGATGATCAAACTTGTGTTGGTCTTGGATTTCTCTATTCGGAATAAAACCCTGGGCAGAAGTTTAGTAAAGAACAGACACCTAGAAGCAGGCAGAAGCTGGCATGAGGAGGTGCCAGCTGCAACCTCACCTGCATGGCCACCCTCATATCTCCAGTCTCCATCCCCAAGCAGTAGCCTGGGGTGCTGTTGGCGGAGGGGAGGACTCTGTGTGCGCACTGAAAACACTGAGTCTGGTCCTCATTTTACAGATGAAGAAACTAAATCTCCAACTTGCCTCACAGCCGACAGTGGCCTCACAGCTGACAGAGAGGCCTGAGTCACAGAGTAATTAGTAACAGAACTGGAATAGGAGCTCAGTTATGCCGACTCCCTGGCTACTGGTGCTCCTGTTTATCCCCAATTAACCCCTTTGCCATCTGCCAGTGGATTCTATGTGTGTGTGCGCGGTGTTGGGGGGGGGGGTGGCGCGTGGCACTACTGAATCCTGCTTCCTCCCTCTCCGCCCTTCCAGGAGACCTTCCTACACACTCGTACCACTTTCATTGCTCTAATTTAAATTTGAGAAGAAAATGATAAGCAGATAGTTCTACTTTATCTTTTCATGTTGCAACAAAGCCAATCTTTTTTTTTTTTAATCCCCCAGGAAAAAGCTAGCTACAACACTGAAGACGGTAAGTTACTGTTGCAGTTAAGCACACTTCCTATTTCCCAGTATTTATTCGTATCCACTTATTTAAAGTTGACAATGCTCCCGGCAAAGGTGAACACAGAAATCTTAGCCCTGAAGGTGTTGTCTGGGCAGTCCTAGAAAAACTCGGAATCCTCAGTGAGCCTGGGAAGATGCTGCCTGGGAGTTCATCCTCATTGACCCCGGCAGCTTTACTGGTAGCCCTGGCAGATCAGCCGCCAGGGTCGGCCTCCCCTAACATCTGTCTTCCCCTCGGGGTTCCCCTGTGTCCATTTCCAGCCCTCTGGCTGGGACCTGGCAATTGTGTAGCAGGCACACGCAGGCCTGACTAAATTCAAATTCTGGCCAGAACAAAGGGAACCTGGAGCAGTCCACTACTCAAGGAAGCCACCTTGACCTGGTATCTGCTCTGTAGCCTGACATTTATAATCAGCCACCAAACCCTGAGACAGTGGGTCCTGAGACAAAGCCATATGCTGGATTCCCACTGCACAAGCGCTACTGCCCGGCAGCTGCTGGGGGTCCTGCTATCCATCAACCCCACTGACAGAGCAGGGAAGGCCCAGCCCCAAGACCACGTTGCTCCTCCCATGAGACACCTCCAGTGAGTTGTCACTTAATGCAAAGCTTAGACTGGAGACTGTGCATTCTAATTGTTGTTTTTATGACTAAAAGAATGGCTTTACATCAGAGAAATGTTCTCCTCAAATACTTGTTTCAATAATATTGCTTTGACTTTTATTTCCACCTTCAACTGTATTGAATATATTTGCTTTTTTTTTTAATAGACTCCTCTTGCCTCTCAACAGAATGCCTCAAGTGTTTGTGAAGGTAAATCTATCTTATTTTAAAGGACGAGTGTGGCCCTAAAACTCTTTTTCATTGAGGATTTCTATATAAATGTCTTTCTAAATTCTGTCATTATTTATAAGGTAACTGTAACTATGCAACTCAATTTTCTTTTTTTAAAATATATTTTATTAATTGTTTACAGAGAGGAAGTGAGAGGGATAGAGAGTTAGAAACATCGATCAGCTGCCTCCTGCACACCCCCGACTGGGGATGTGCCGGCAACCAAGGCACATGCCCTTGACTGGAATCGAACCAGTCACCTCTGATTCTGGGACTCCTCAGTCCACAGGCCGACGCTCTATCCACCAAGCCAAACCGGTCAGGGCACAACTCAATTTTCTAAACAAAGTAGCCCTCCCGTTGCAATGAGTAGTGAGTAGCAGTGATCAGGACCTCAGCTTGCCTGGGAAGCATCTGTGGGGTGGCTTACAGACTACACACCTCAAATCTGTCTGCTTGCTGACAGGTATGCTTGCCAGAAGCAGGGCCATCGCCTTCCATTGGTGGGAAGACTAACTCAGGGCCACTCGTGTATCTTAGACTAATTGTTTGGTTAAGGAATGAAACTTTTAAAAACCTGTTGATGTGAACCAGTCCTTTTGCTAAGTTTTCAAAATAATGTTTTCAGAGTTCAAATGTTTGTTTTAATACATCTCCAAATGCTTTCCCTCTTTTGTTCTATCATAACCCTAGAACCTTACATTTACTTTTTATTAGAACATTACCACTTAAAAAAATGTATTTGCAAAATCCTAGGGGGAAAAACAGAAAGAAGTAAAAATCATCCATAATCTCAACATTTAAAATACTACATAAGTGTTAAATTTCTGCACCCATCTGATTCCACATTTTTAACTATTGTTAAAAGCTTAGGGAGTGCTCTTCTCACCACTTCCTGAGTTAATATGGACAGATCTACATAAAGTGTTCTGGTTTCTTTGAGGATGGACAGTGGACATTTTCTGAATGTCCATTATAACTCCCCTGTCTGTTTAGTTGTTCTAATCATTAATTTCTTCAATAGGCTTTTACATTGGCTCACACATCTTTTCTCCCCCAAGAGCTATTTCCAAGTATCACTCTCTTTCTGATGTTTTGCTTTCATCTGCCTTTCCACTGATACTTTCGCCTTACGGTCCTTCCATTCCTTGCTGTCCTCAGCAAGGGCTCAGGGCATGTTCTATGCAGCTCAGATGTCCTCATTCCCAAAGGGTTCCCAGTGCAGGAGGTTGGCATGCCATCTCCTTAGTGACTCATTTCAAGACCATAGCAATGGCCATCCAAACCCAAAATGGGGAGCAGCCTCCAGGACAGCAGGGCCAAGCAGATGTGATCAAAGGCTGTGGGGACCTAATCGGTTCATTGTTTCTCCTTCTGAAACTACCAAGTTGTTCGGTTGTGAACAAAACGCCTCCATGGAAGCTCAGAGTGATGTGCCACAAACCTGAAGCGCGGTCGTCAGAGGTCCAAGGCTTCTGAGTCTCAGTGCACCGCACAAAACCCGGGACTGCTTAGAATCTTACTACTTTTATTCCTTGTGGGTTCCTATAACAGGAGAGCCATACTTCCCAAGCTTCTTCCAAGCAGGGGACACACCATGGACATACCCAGATTATAACACACCCTAGACCAGTGATGGCGAACCTTTTGAGCTCAGCGTGTCAGCATTTTGAAAAACCCTAACTTAACTCTGGTGCCATGACACATATAGAAATTTTTTGATATTTGCAACCATAGTAAAACAAAGATTTATATTTTTGATATTTATTTTATATATTTAAATGCCATTTAACAAAGAAAAATCAACCCAAAAAATGAGTTCACATGTCACCTCTGACATGCGTGTCATAGGTTCGCCATCACTGCTCTAGACCAAACTCGAGGGAGGATAAAGCATCACATAATTTATAATCACACCTATTAATGGTTCTGCTGCAAGTTTACGATGGACATCAACATAAATTTCTTACATTTTGGGTGGTGCCCATTTCCCTCTGTACTAGTTATAACTCCTCCTCTTCCTCTCCCCCTCAAGAAAGCATGGTGAAATGTACAAGAGATGAACATTGCTATCGAGATAACCTTGAATTTGCTGTATTAATTTTTCAAAAAGAGTAGATCATTTTTAAAATGTCATATTTTACCACTTATCATTAAGAAATTCTTTATAGTCACATCTTATGACTAATGAAGATACACCCAGGGTGTGGTAAGACCTGTGTGTGGGCCACATAGAAAGCAGGAGGTAGGTAGCTAAAACTTGCTCATCTCTGTCTCCTGCCTGAACTCACACACTGAAAGGTCCAAATCCATGGTCAGCCCCCATGTTCCTTGCTAAGAGATAAAAATAGAGGAAGTAGGGTATGCCTGTAACACTGGGGAGCAGCAAAGTCCTGGTCGAATAGCACAAACACATCACTAGACTGACAGGTGCACAAACAGATAGCATCCTGGTGAAAATATGGAATATGGATGTGGTCGGAAAACATCTGACCACATCCAATGCTTATCAGTTGATACTGCTAGGTTTGGGCATGGGGACGGACATTTCCCTCTAATTCTAATATGAACACTTTCTTGATACAGAAAAACCTGTACCT